AGCCCCTCTGCAAAGTGAGGATGGTGTTGCCCACGCAGGGCCGTGTGGAGATGTGATCAGTTTCTGTGCTTGGCATGTAGTTCTAAGTCAGGAAGTGTCTGCTCCCAGCCCCTCCTCCCTACCCCCCACCCCCTCTCTCACCAAACAGCCTGAGTCAGGCCTCCCCAGCTCCTCCTTGGCCTGCAGCCCGGGGTGGACATCTCCTTGGATCGCGGGAGGCACCAACGCTGTCATCGTCCGCAGAACCACAAGGCCTGCTTTCTCATAAGCAAGTCTTACTCCTGCGAAGGAGTTTCACACGCATCTTCCTCCTGCTCGGCGAGGTGATGGCACGTGAGGAGGAGGCCACGTCCCCCGGAGCCCTGCTCAGGCTGCAGGCCGCTCCCTGGCGGAGTCAGTGTGGGGGGTGCAGGTGTCGGCTTCCCTGGCGCTCAGCACCAAGTCCATTGGCCGTGACTCTGACCAGTACGAGGCTGGGCAGATGGACTCGACTCGGAGCCCCGCTCCTGGGTAGCGGGGTTCCCAGGACACCCCCACGCCCAACTGCCACTCTCCTAACTGCCGTCGGAACTCTGCTCCGTCCTGGGGTGAGCGCTGGCCGGGGAGCCCGAAAGCGTTTGGAGGGCCAGGTGGGAGCTTCCTTTTGTGACCTGGGCACCAGCCCCTATAGTTTCGAGAGGAAAACTCGGCTGCCTTTGGTTTTTGTTTGTTTGGTGTTGGCTTCAGAGCTTTGAAGCCTGTGCTGCCTCTCTCCCTTCTGATTTGCAGGATGTCCGGGGAAGAAATGCACTTGGCTATCTGAGCATCGTTGGGTGTGAAGACGCTCTGCAGAGGAGCTCCAGACTTGGTAAAAAAAAAAAAAAAAAGAGAGAGAGAAATATTTTTCTCTTCAAAATGCAAATATTTCTTTTTTATATAAATAATAAATGCACATTATAAAAATGTATACAATCCAGAGGCATTCCCCACCTCTGCTGTGTGACTAGAGACAACCACATTAATAGTTGGTAGTGTATCTTTTCAGTCTCTGGAAATGTGTGCATCTTACTAAATATTATTCTATAATCTGGCTGCTTAAATTCAAAAGTATACAAAAGTGAACTTTCCAGCCCATATATATATACCTGCATTTTCCTGGCTGAAATTAACTTCACCATTCCCTAATATTGGGTAGTTAGCCTGTTTTACATTTCTTTCCGTTACAAACAGTAAATGATGTAATGAACTCCCTTTTACATGTATGGCTGCCTATTTGTGTGGGTATTTTTATGGGATAAATTCCTACAAATGTACCTAATGGGTCTAAAGTAAGGCACATTTTGAGTTTTGGTAGATGCGTCTAAATTACTCACCAAAAAGGCTTACACACCTGCCAATTCCACAATGCCAAGGCCCACAATAGTTGTAGGGGTTATGGAAATGGCTTAACTTCTTTTAAAATCAGGAGAAAATATAATACCAATGACTTTATAATACACAATAGATCCAGACTGGATTGCATATTTTATATACCAGTGCAGCTATAAAGTATACTTTTTCATTTTTTAAAAATATATTTTATTGATTTTTTACAGAGAGGAAGGGAGAGGGATAGAGAGTTAGAAACATCGATGAGAGAGAAACATCAATCAGCTGCCTCCTGCACAACCCCTACTGGGCATGTGCCCGCAACCAAGGCACATGCCCTTGACCAGAACCGAACCCAGGACCCTTGAGTCCGCAGGCCGACGCTCCATCCACTGAGCCAAACTGTCCACGGCTTTCATTTTTTTTTTTTTAATGGAGAGGGAACCCATGAAGGCCAATGTGCACAGGGCCTGCAAGCCACAGTGTGGCCCTGGGTTACCCATTTCTCCACACCTCTGCAACTCTGAGAATTATTTTTTTAGTTTTTGCTAGTCTTTTATGCAAATAAAAAAAACATGCCATTTCACAATTGTTTCTACCTGCACTTCTTTGGTTATTTGTGAGGTAGGTATGTATGGTCACCTAAGTATGTTGATCATTGAAATGTCCTTTATGAATTGCCTATTTATGTTCTTATCTCATCTTTCTATTCAGTTGCTCATCTTTTCGTTGTTAAAAATTTTGCATTCTAGATTTACTGGTATCTTTTTGTCATGATATTGGAAAGTTTTCTATACCCCAAACCTGTCAGGCATTATGGTATCACCAGAGGCCTGGTGCATGAAATTCGTGCATTAGTGGGGGGGTTGGGGGGGTCCCTCAGCCCCGCCTGCACTCTCTCGCAGTCTGGGAGCCCTTGGAGGCTGCACTCGTCTGCCATGAGCCTGGCTTCTGGCTGAGTGGCACTTCCCCATGGGAGCGCACTGACCACCAGTGGACAGCTCCTGCGTTGAGCACTTGCCTCCTCGTGGTCAGTGCACATCATAGCAACTGGTCGATCAGTTGACTGTCTGCCCCCTGCTGGCAGTGCACGTCATAGCGAGCGGTTGGGCAGCTTTAGCATATCATTAGCATATCACCCTTTGATTAGTTGAACTGACAATCATCTGACTTGGCACTTAGCATATTAGGCTTTTATTATATAGGATTCTTACAAGGGCTTACACAAATATTCATTGATATTTTCTTATAGAATATCTATGGCTATTATTATTTATGATAGTATCTTTAATTCATCTGGAATGCTTTTTGTAAAAGATGTGAAATAGTTACTAATCTTTGTTTTCCAGCATCTTGGGACAATAACTTAAAATATCACTTTTATCAAATATTAAATTCTCATTATACATGACTTTATTTTTTGAATCTCTTCCATCCCATTGATCCATTCATCCATTGTTATGCAAACTCCACACTTTTTTTTTTTTAATCTTCACCTGAGGATATTTTTCCGTTGATTTTTAGAGAGAGTAGAAGAGAGAGGGAAAGACAGAGAGAGATATCGATGTGAGAGAAACACATTGATTAGCTGCCTCCTGCACATGCCCTGACCAGGGCCCAGGCTGTTGAGGAGCCTGCAACCCAGGTACATGCCCTTGACAGGAATCAAATCCGGGACCCTTCGGTTTGCAGGCCAATGCTCTATGCACTGAGCCAAACCAGCTAGGGCCACACTTTTAATTGCATAACTTTAGGATATTTTGATTTCTGATAAGGCAAATCACTTCTCCTCTTTCAATTTTTCTCTTGATTATTCTCATACATTTACTCTTTTTGATGAACTTTACATTTTTAAATTACGTTTTCAAGTACTGAAAAAAATCCCAATAAGTTTTGTAAAACTTTACAGATTGATTTGAGAAGGGACATCTTTACAAAATGTCTGCCTCTCCAAGAGCATGGTTGTTCAGACCTATTTACACACATGCCCTGTTTTGTCTAAGCCCTGGCCATCTCAGCCGTCTCCTTTTTAGACTCCTCCTTGGCTCTCTCTGGGGCCAGGAGGCCAGCAGCAGGGGCTTGTCTAAGTCTTCTTGTCCCCAGGAGGCTCATGGGGACCTCTCTTTGGCCATTTTTGCCCTGTTTAGTACTGGTTTTCTAAGAACTGTGTTCCGCTGCAAACCACCGTGGCAAAGCCCACCATGATCTCCTCTGGTCTCTCTTTTTTTTAAAACACATTTGTATTGATTTCAGAGAGAAAGGGAGAGGGAGAGAGATAGAAACATCAATGATGAGAGAGAATCATTGATTGGCTGCCTCCTGCACGCCCCCTACTGGGGATCAAGCCCACAACCCCTGCATGTGCCTTTGACCAGAATCGAAGCTGGGACCCTTTAGTCCGCAGGCCAATGCTCTATCCACTGAGCCAAACCAGCTAGGGTGATTTCTGGTCTCTCTGCTTCCACTTTTGCCTCCTCTGGCTCATTCTCCATGCTGGGCCCAGTGTAATCTCTCTAGTCAAGTCCCTGTGGTCCCCTCTTGGAAACCCCATAGTGATTCCCGGTTCTATTAGTTACTTATTGCTGCTGTAACAAATTACTACAAACGTAATGCCTTAAACAATGCTTACTTCTTGTCTGTGAGTCAGAAGTCCAAAATCAGTCTCGCTGGTGTAGAATCAAGGTGTCAGTAGGGCTGCATTCCTTTCCGGGGGCTCTGGGAGGGGATATGTTTCCCTCCGTTTCCAACTTCTAGAGGCTGCCTGCATTTCTTGACTCATGGCCCCTTCCTTCATCTTCAAAGACAGCAACTGCATCGCTCTGACCCCTGCTTCTGTTGTCATACCTCCTTCTCTGGCTCTGGTCCCCCTGCCTCCCCCTGGTAAGTATGATCATAAGAATCACCCCTGTGATTCTACTGGGCTCACCCAGATAATCCAGGATCCTATCCCACCTCAAAGCTCTTAACTTAACCGCATCTGTAACTTTCCTTTTGCCACGGGAGGTACCGTATTCATAGGTTCCAGGGATTAGGACGTGGACATTACTCTGCCTACCACAGCCATGGTCTTGCCAGCCCATCAGTGACCTGCCCCACTGATCCTCTGCTTAAGCCCGTTCTACTCTCTCCTTTGAACTCCCTGCTCCAGCCACATGAACTTTTAATTTCTGAAACCTGCTCTTTCTGCTCCTCCAGTCCTGGTCCAGGCTGACTCTGCTGCCTGGCAAACCTTTCCCCGCCTCTTCACCTGACTAACTCCCACTCATCTGCAGCCTTGGCTTTTTCTGGAACCTTCCGACAACCCTCTTCTACTCCTTGCATGTTCTTCCAGACTTTGTTAGAGGCTGCGGTGCCATCCTCCATGGTCCCTGGCCCCCAAATACTACTGTTTTGTTTGGTTCTCTTCTCTTCCACATGTAAGCTCTCAGAGGGCAGAGGTGAGTGATAAGGGCCACTCCGCACTTGGCACAGGAGAGGGAACTTAAACTCCTTGCCGAATGAATGCAATTTCACAATAGAATGCAAGTAGTCTTACTCCATAGGTGTCATCTTAAAAGCGTTCATCATTCAGTCAATGAGTGCTGACTTTGTAAGTACTGAGCCATGGGGGCTAAAATAAGGGGAAAACATTTGAACGTTACGGTTACAGTGGTATGACCATAAGGACCCGAATAACCATCTTCCCCTTCAGGGAAATGGACTTGGAGGTCAGCGAGCCAGTAGACTTCAGTACCGGAGATCACCAGCATCTAGTCCGGAAAGCAGGAGATGATAGCGCCCAGCCCGAATCTAAAGAGACCAAGGCAACGCCACCTTCACCTGGGCCCAAGCAAACACATGGGAAACCAAAGCCAAAGACCGACCAGCGAGCGGATTTCTACGTGGTGGAAATTTCAGATGAGACCACCCCTGAAGAGAGCAATGCTGAAGCCAGCCCATTCTCAGAAGCATCTATCCGCAGAGGTGAGAACAAAGACATTTCCTCTCTGGGAGAGAAAAGCAAATGTTCTCAAATGTTTCCACAGAAAGATTGAATTTTGCTTTTAGTTTTTCCCAGCCAGGCTTTTCCATGAAACATGGGGTAGGGCTGCTGTGGATAGACCACCCCCAAGTTGTCCAGAGCATTCAGAAAATCCTAGTAAACGTATTATAGTGAGAAGCGTGTGGTTTTCTTAGGAATTATGAATTAGTCATTGATGGTCGAATGTCCTTACCTGTATACAATGTGAATACCATAGTATTGGCTTCAGTTTTAAAGAATATGAATTCAACGCCTTAGATATTAATTCTGTACAGGAAGTACATTTAGCTGTGAGTAAAGAAACTTAAAAACGGTGGCTTAGTAAATAAATGAGAAGTATTTTGCTTTCATGAAATATGAAGTTCAAGGGTAAAAAATTCAAGGCAAATGCCGCAGGTCCCCGTGACCCCTTTGCCACCGTTAGGCCTTGTCGGGGCCTGGACAAGTTGAGCTTGAATGCCATTGCTGGCCCTCGCCCTCCTTGTGGCTGGAGAGATGCCTTTTTGGGCTCTATCTAGCCTTCCAGGGAGGGAAAGAGGGGAAAAAAAAGAAGAAGAAGAAGAAAACGAAAGAAAGAGACCACAGCTGGTCTGCCGCCCTAACAACACCAGGGCTGCCATGGATGGATAGATGCCCCAAGTGTCCTCCAAATCTGGCCTCTGTTCAGAGGCTTTCCCAGAAACCACACCCAAGAGTTTTCAATTCACGTCTTTGACTCCACCTGGCCCACGTGACCACCTCCCTCTGCAGTTTTTCAGTTGGGTCCATTGCCACCTGTATTGCCACCAGTAACAAGATCTGGGTTAGATAGTGAGGTAATGGGGGAGAATAGATGTCCCTGGGCAACCAGCCACCGCTGCCATGGGTGCCAATCCTTTCTCCCTGGGGTTGCGCAAGGGGAAGGTCACTGCATTTAGCCCATTCGGCCCTGTAACTGAAGTGGCTGTGGATCTGTTTTTGTTCATCAGTTTATCCTATCTAATAATAGAGAAACATGGTAATTAGCTGTACCTCCACTACCCTTCCCATTGGCTAATCAGGGCGATATGCAAATTAACTGCCAACCAAGATGGCGGCCGGCAGCCAGGCAGCTTGAAGCTATCAGGAGGCTTGCTTGCTTCAGTGAAGGAGGAAGCCAACGTTCCCCGCCTGCCGCTGCCGGCCTCTGAGCTTGCAGTTTGAAACATTGTTACAAATATAGAAGCTAAACAAAACCCCAGAAACCTCCTTACAGCCAGCCGGGATCTCAGAGCTGGAGTTGAAACAGTGTTTCGATTACAGAACCCCAAACAAACCAGATACCCTGCTTTCCAGCAGCCGAGGCCTCAGAGCTGGGAGCCAAGCCTCAGAGCTAAAGCTGCCCCCAGAATTTAAAAAAAAAAGAAAAAAAGGACAGGTTGGGAGCTTCAGTCACCCGCCAGCCTGAAAACAGCCCTCAGCCCCTCACCCAGACTGGCCAGGCACCCCAGTGGGGACCCCCACCCTGAAGGGGGTGTGACCAGCTGCAAACAGCCATCATCCCCTCATCCAGGCTGGCCAGGCACCCCAGTGGGGATCCCCACCCTGATCCAGGACACCCTTCAGGGCAAACCAGCCTGCCCCCTCCCGTGCACCAGGCCTCTATCCTATATAGTAAAAGGGTAATATGCCTCCCAGCACCGGGATCAGCGTGACAGGGGGCAGCGACCAACCCCCTGATCG